TGTTAGTACAAGCGCTGCGTGTTAATACAAGTGCAACTTGTCGTTGAACCAAGCGCATCTTGTTGTGAGTACAAGTGCAACTTGTTGTTGAACCAAGTGCAACTTGTTGTTGAACCAAATGCAACTTGTTGTTGAACCAAGTGCACCTTGTTGTTGAACCAAGTGCACCTTGTTGTTGAACCAAGTGCACCTTGTTGTTGAACCAAGTGCAACTTGTCATTCAACCAAGTGCAACTTGTTGTTGAACCAAGTGCAACTTGTTGTTGAACCAAGTGCAACTTGTTGTTGAACCAAGTGCAACTTGTTGTTGAACCAAGTGCAACTTGTTGTTGAACCAAGTGCAACTTGTTGTTGAACCAAGTGCAACTTGTCATTCAACCAAGTGCAGCTTGTCATTCAACCAAGTGCAACTTGTTATTCAATCAAGTGCAACTTGTTATTCAATCAAGTGCAACTTGATATTGACCTACTACCCTAAACCAACCAAGACCTAAGTAAATGCGCCTTGTTAATAAATTAAGTAACATTGGTTAATACATGAACTAGAACTTGTTAGTAGAATAATTACTATTAATACCTAATAATATAATCACTAATATAACTACTGATATGACGAATAATGTGAATAAACAGACGGCAATTTGTTAACAAATTAAAGACAGTAACAATAATAACGAATAAGCTTAAATAATGATTCAATATTCATCGATAAAAGCTATATTCAATAGACATTATTATTCAACAGTATAAAATTTAGAATTAAAATTGCTGAAGCAGTCGTAACAATCAACAAGAATTAAGCAATTGTTCCAAGGATACGTGTCGTCTGAAGATAACAAATTATATATTATATTATATATTAATTGCAAAAATGTTTATCACAGCTTAATAAACATTCTAAAAACTCTTGAAAACATTCAAAATAAAACCTCTCGCCACAAAAATACCGGGTTACAACGAAACAACAGCTCTCCAAAAGTGAAAAAGGAAATATATAGATAAAAATGAAAAATATCAAATAAAACACTTGAAAAAAATAATAAATGCAACAATGCTTCTAAAAAAAATCGACCAATCCGATTTAGCACACTCGCATCGACAATCAAGAATTCCCGATTTAAAAAAACAAGTGATGCGAATGATTAATCCCTTGCCCTATGACATATTTTTCAACTATACTCGATAAAACAACTTTTTCGTTAATAATTCCCTAGAAAAAGTAAAGAATTGTGAACTCACTGTATGTTTACGTCACTACAAATGTTAAAGATCGATAATGGACAAATAATATTTAACCCTTTGCACTCGAAAGGTGAATCTCACTCGTCAGTTGACCTCACAGAGTAAAACTATGAAATTGAATATTTAATATTATACTTCGTATAATGCACCAATTTGAGAAATGTTTAAATAAAACAGCTTTGTTACTCAACGTATGTGTGATTCCCCATCGAGTCAGTTTCACAAAACATCGTCTTTATCTCATCAGAGAATGTTGGAGTATTTCTAGTGAGAAACTTCCGAGTGCAAAGGGTTAATTTATGTTGAATATAAATAAGTGACATTGAGAAGTAACGAATTCAATTGAAAATTTTCATTACGAGACTGACACGTTAGTGTAGGACAAGGGGTATAATACCAGACTAATTTTTTTTTCTTTGGTGGGGAATGCTTTTACGCACCGTAGGAGAGGAATATCATTTTATGTCCCTCCCCTGCGTGTGGGACTCAACAGCACGATGTAATACCCACTAAACCCCCACCATGTAGCTAGGAACACCACTGGGCATAAGGCCTTTTACTGATCGAACATTTGTTTGTCAGGCATTGGATACATGGTGAGGCACTTAAAACCGGCCACCTGAATAACTTAGCTGCTATTGGTGATAGGAAAAAATGCATCAGGCGAAAAGTATTTGGTATCGAAGGGCTGATCATTCGATAATACTAGTATTTTTTATAGGTGGAGGCCTCAAGGAGATATGAAGGTCATCTCTGTTTTTCTAAATGGAACGGAATATTTTTTTACTTGCATTCTGACAGAGTATTTCAAGACGAATACAATGACCTATTGGAAAGGTCATTCGTGGTCTGGGTTAAGCCAATTATGATGGAAAATAATTCAATGATTTTATAATTTATTTATTTATTGAATAAATTATAATAAAATAATTTCATTATAATAAGCGTTATTAAATGTTTATTTCCACTCAACGACCCATAACAAGAGATTACGAGACAAGGATGACGTAATATCAACAACCAGATACGGCAAAGAAGTGTTCGACCATTTCCTCAAATTAAATTATTTTCCATCATAATCGGCTTAACCCAGACCACGAATGACCTTTCCAATAGGTCATTGTATTCGTCTTGAAATACTCTGTCAGAATGCAAGTAAAAAAATATACCGTTCCATTTAAAAAAACAGAGATGACCTTCATATCTCCTTGAGGCCTCCACCTATAAAAAATACTAGTATTATCGAATGATCAGCCCTTCGATACCAAATACTTTTGGCTTGATGCATTTTTTCCTATCACCAATAGCAGCCAACTTATTCAGGTGGCCGGTTTTAAGTGGCTCACCCTGTATAGTTTACAGGACACATCTGATTTTGTGAATTGTTGGAAACTGATTATTGAAATATATAAGTACCTCACAACACTGGATAAATTCAAGGTTGAGAAATTGAAGAACTTCTATCCATCCGCGTCCAGTATTTAAGAAATTTAAACTTGTTTTTGCATAAAATCAGGTGTAACTTATTTCAGTAACTTTCTTAACTTATAACTTGTAACTTATAACACTTGCAAAAACGAGTTAAACTTTCTTAAAGACTGAATGCTTATGGATATAATTTTTTGAATCTGTCAAGCTTGAATCTATCAAAAGTTATGGGGCGTGTTTACATTTTTGAACACGTACCAATAATTCCTGCAATCTACTGCAACTTAAAATGGATAAACAGTGGATAATTTGACGACAGAATAATAAAGATGCCTGTACTTTCACTCTGCATTAAAAGAAACTATTTGAAACAGTTCGAACATATGTAAATTGAAAGGAATATTTTTCAACAAATGAAAAGGTGAAAACTATTATAGGCAAATGTCAAATATTTCCAATGAAATTTACTGACTAATATGCAGAATATGGTTTTAGCTTGCAAATACATATTGCTTCTACAATAATAATATACAGGGAAGAATAATGTAACAATACAAAATCAAAAACTTATTTTTCTATCGAAAGTCTAGTGTTTGCCTACTGTATAAACAACAATCCACCAAAGATAAAAAAATATACATACATAAATATGTAAAATATTGAAAACAACAGTAGTACAAAAACATGAAATCAACAAAGCTTCCAATAAAAAAAAACTGATACGAATGGATAAGATACGAACTTACAATTACATTATAAACTAATTTCAAAAATGTCCATCCCAGCATAAGAAACACCCTAAAACCTCTTTGAAAGATTCAAGATAAAACCTCTCACCAGAAAACACCGAGTTATAACGAAACAGCGCGCCCCAAAGGGGAAAAAGGGAATACACACATAAATATTTTAGAAAGAAACGAACAGCCCCGAAGGGAATTGCACGCGGTCCACAGTCTCGATTGGTCGTGCACAGAGAAAAAAGGATTTTCGATATCGAGTGACGGAGGCCAGTCGCCGTCGAGAGTTTTTCGAGGGCCATCCAAAGATTCCAATTCGTCCTTCGTCGCCTGCCCTCGTGTGCAGTGAGAAAAGTCGGATCGAGGATCTATTCTCGTAGATCACTCTGGTGCTCGACCCCTTCCAGCCGATTCGATTCCGGAGACAAATATTTGACAGTATTTCGTTGCACAATAGTGCACGGCGTCCGTCCACTCTGACCTCCCATTTGAATTCTCTTGAAAGGATTGTGTCTTCGTGTCTGACTTATTGCTGACTCGAACTACTTAGGAGACTGAAGTACGAAATTAACGTAGGATATAAGGGACACTGTGTTTGAAGAATGTGAGCTCATATTTACGTTGTCAACTGAAACGAACCTTGTTGTTCGCATAGTGTAAGTTCATTAATTAGTTATTGATAAGTACATAAACTGATTTTACGTTTCAATTTGGAATATTGAATTATGGGAATTGAATGGTTGGTTCTAGAATTGAAGTGTTACGGAATTGAGTAAGAAATATAACGTCATTGACTAAGAAACGTGACACCATTTAATGGTTGTAGTGAAGACTAGCACTTATTTTATACTGTACGAAGTAATTGTGTTAAATAATGCTCCTTCAGAATGGACAATAACATTATTTATTAAATTTTCGATGCAAACGCAAACCTATTTTCAAAAGTCACGATTCAATAACAAAAGAAATGACGAACAAAGAAATTACTCAATCAACTCTTACATTCATTTTCTCAATCTCTCCTGCTAATCATCAGGCACAGAATCTCATGTATCAGATAAGCAATGACGCACCTCAATAATCGGTAACCAATTAAACCAACTTCAAAACAACCTTCAAATGTACACTCCTACACAAACCAAAATCAATAAAAGCACATTCCCACCGATCAAGCGTAGCAAATAAAACCCCAACGCCACAAGAGCTCGCCAAAAGCACATTTTCCCTCAGTCGGAAATTCCGGGAAAGTTCATAGTGTCAAGCTCAACCGACTCAACTCCAAAAATGCAAAATATAATTCCGCCGAACCGTTACTATATCCGTTCTCACGTTCCGCGGAACCAAAAAACGGTGTCCTCGAGTTACGCAATTAATAAAACAGCGAAAAGCTTTCACGCAGTGAACAAACGCCTCAGAAAAAGAAGAAAAAATTGCGATTCCGAGGTAGTATTTCGTCGAGAGGTATAACGCAAGGGTGGTTACCACGAAGGAATAGGGATGGGAAAGAGTTTCAAGGGTGTCCTCGAGAAAAAAACACGCGAAAGGGTAGTGGAAAATAGAGGCGATGCCTGAAAATATTTTTCTGGTTGGCAGGGGGAGCATGAAGTAGCCGGGGACAACGGTGTTCCATTGGCCCGAGGGGCTTTTCCACCAGCGACAGCAACAGGAACAGGCTGAGACATGGAGAAATGCGGCGGGGAATTACCGAAGCACGAGTGGTGCCACAGGCTCAGCCTTCGTGCCAGTCGAAGGAGTCATCAGGTAACAAAATGAGTACAGTTGTCGAGGGGATGTGTGGATTTGTTTGTGTTGATTTCTGTAACCTTGAGTGCTTAACCCTTTCAGCGTCAGGAAATTGTCATATATGTGGGTATGGATGTATTTGAGTATGTGAATAAATATATTGATGAGTGATGAATGAGTGTGCAATAGATGAATGACGCGACTGTGTGTGTGAGCGCGTTTTGATTGAATGTTCAAAGCGTTAGAATATTCTAGATTATATTGATTTTCTCTATATGTTAATAATGTTCGTTTTTTTATGAAGCTAGAATATTCCAGATATATGTGAAGTTAATGCATGGTAATGAAAGAATGTCCTAGAAAGTGTGTGAGTGAGACAAGAGCATCTGAGTATATAAATAGTGTGTGCGATGTTTGATTTAGTTAGTGTTATATTGTGAGTTGTCAAGAAATAATTTTACTGCTTCTAATAAAATTCTCTTTCTCCTACTTATATAGTCGAGAAATACTAGAAAACTTCAACACATTGCGTACGTAATTTTCAGGAAACTGAATTGTACGGATGGCAATTGTCAGCGAGAACAACTTATATTGTTGTATATAGAATAACTGAAATATATTGCTATAGAATGTATTCTAAATAGATAATCCATTCGAATCGAATTTCATATCTTTTCAAACGCTGCAATAATTAGCAAAGTTGTATAGCTAAGTATCTTTATATAAACACGAGATTCTTTATTATCAGTACGCAATGTGTTAACACTAAAAATAGACGGGTCAAAATGACTCATTCCTGACTTCCTCATTTTGCTATTAGTAGAAGTATAATAGGTGCTTTTCTGAGAAAGTACTCAAGAAGTTGATTCAGCAGTACGCAAACTGAATTGTAAACTAATTAAAGTCTCGGTAGATGAATTCCTGAAGTTGCCAAAAAGGGATTTCAAAAAGTTAACCTAATTGCTCGGTAAGTTCAGCGTTAAACAAAGATGCATGACAATAAACAAAAATTGTGATTTATATTTCATAAAATTTGTACAGAATACTAAAAACATGAACTTTATTGCTGATATCGATCGTTGGCAGTCAAAGGGTTAAGTATAGTATTTTTAATTAAGATTAATGCTGATTATTATTTGATAGAGGTTCCGCTATTCACGGTGCACTTTCAAGAACGTTGCGTTCTCTTTCTCTTCTTTTAAATTTCCCACCCTTATTACTTTCCCAAACTTTTGTTTTCTCTCTAACTATTGTATATTGTTACAACTGTTATATCTTATTGCATTATAAATATATAAAATAAACTACTACTGTAACTACTACAATCATTTTTAAAAATAAAATATTTTGCACTCTTTTCATGGTGTGATCTCCTATTGATTTTGCTAATTATGCTTCCATAATATACTATTTTGAACTCTGTTTAATTATTGACATTCTTAATTAATGTTCAAGTAATTGTTACGTTACACAGATTTACTGCTCATCATTATAACCCTACTTCTCTTTAATCCTCTTGAAAATCTCACTAAAGATAAGAATTAAGACTCAATCAAATGCAACGTCTGAAAAATTGAAACAGTTTTATAGAGAATTAAACAATAATTCCTCTTTATAATTGCAGTTAGTTAAGATTACGTTTTAAAAACAACTCCTCAACACAACTTGATCTGCAATCATTGTACCAATTACAAAGCAAAATCTTTATAATATTTATTCCAATGAATTACAAACTTCTATCTATAATTAATAGGAAAGCATATCCGGCAGTAAACAAGAACAGTATTTCACTTCCGAACGAAACAACATTTCGATTTGAAATATACCAAGACTGATCGAATCATGTCCACGGCATTTACGAGTAATTGGATGCTGACGTCAACAAATGGTAACCAGGAAGAATTGAATTCCACAAAATTTCATAAATGATGAAAACAGCGAACAACGGAAAATATTACGAGTAATGAATATAATTGATCGTATTATGTTCTGCATAAGCGGAGAGCGTGGTAAAGTGCATTACAACGGCACAGCCGGATAAGGTGTTCAAAAGTGGAGCCGAATCAAATTAAATCCTTGATGGAACGATCGATAGCTCATCAAGAAAGAATATTTTGCGAGAAATTTCAATCCTCAGTATTGATCAGCGAGATAGTTATGGAGGATATCGGATTATCAGTGCTCGTTCTGTTTTCCCTGGTTAATTGCATGCAAAAATTCTGAGGGAATCCTGACGCGGCGCTGGTATCGCGGCAAATATTAGTTATTCATTTTAGGATACTTCAACTTTTAATCGGACTGGCGAAAAATTCATTGAACACCGCGAAACTGTCGAGAAAATTAAACTTCCGAGTAAAGTATCAAATTACCATTGCTTATGTATTCGCTTAATGTTTATTTATTATGTTCACAATTATAATTCGATGGAAAGTTTATATTACTTGTGAAAAACATTGTTGTAAGTAGAAAATGTTTAAAATCTTTGAAAATAGAGAATACAGTGTATAAATGAATAAAATGTAGAAAGCATAAGTAAATAATATATTTGGTTGAAAAAATTATTTTTAAGTTTAGTTCCAAAGAGAAAAAGCAATGGAGAAATATAAAATTACTTTAAGGGCAGTAACTATATTGTTATATGGCTGTTATAATTATAGAATGGAAGATCTTAATAAACTTCCATAATGACATTCAAAAGTATCTTAAATATTAATGACTTATATTTTTGGGTTCAAAAGTTGCAAACAAAAAATTGTAAAATATTGTTCAATGTGTGCATTTGAAACAACGTACCAGGAGTTTTTGACAGTATTTAACATGAGTCTGCGGTCAAAAAGCAATAAAATCTGCCTGTCCAATTTCGCCAAAAGCTATCCCCTAGGTCAACATGGATGAACGTAACGCAACGAAAACATTTTTCCGTGATAGAATCTACATTCCGCTTTTACAATCGTATCAGGTTACAGCCACCACGAAGCTTTAAAAGGAATTCCGAAAACTATTAAAATTCTACGAAGTCCTATTAATTCTTATAACAATTATATAATAGTTATAATAATTCTTACGACAGCACAAAAACGGAGTTTAAGAACTGAATTATGTTTAAAAGTGACAAAAAAAGTTAATTAAAAGGTTTATGACTATAAGATGTAGTAAAATAAAAATCATTCTCAACTTACACACTCCAATTGCTTTCAATGAATGATAATTGTATTAGAAACTGTCAAAATATTTATAATTTGTCACAAATGAAAACATTAAGAATTTAATTTTATTTCTAAATGTTTCGACAGAATAAAATTTCAGAAAGTATACAATTAATTCCAATGAATTTAGTAATTAACGTGAAGATAATACAGTTAACCTACTTCATAATAACCTTAATTATCACGATTAAAGTACAATTAACAAAAACTTAAGTAGCTTAATTCTCCATCGAAGTGACCAAATAAGATTTTTGTTCAAATTAAGGTGGAATATTAATTGAAAAGCGTTGGACTGAAGGATAACCGAACATTTGATGTGTGTATCCGTGTTCCAAATAACGTATTTAAAATTGAAAACATATGTTACCACGATGTGAGTTATGCTAAGCGTAAAAACTAATTATACACACCTTTAATAAATATTCATCCGATGGGATATCAAAAGGCTTCGGTTCTCCCATAATTTCTATAAAAAGAAACAACAAACCGTGCCATTAAAATTATTTATATAAAAAGAAACAAATTGTTTTATTTGTCGAATTAATACTAAATGAAGCAACAAGTCATTTTATTTATGCTGTTAACACAATAAGAAATAGCAACTCGTTTTATTTATTGACGTTAGATAAAAAGAAACGTTAAATCGTTAAATTTTCTGAATATATATAAAATAAAAAGTCAAATCGTTTTATTCATTGAGGTTACACGAAAAGAAACATAAAAACGTTTCATTTATTGAATTTATATAAAAAGAAATATCAAACTGTTTTATTTACTGAACTTATTTAAAAAAGAAACATGAAATTGTTTTATTTACAGAACTTACATAAAAAGAAACGTCAAATTGTTTTATTTAACTTATACAATGACAAACGACAAATCGATCAATTTGCTGAATTTAAATAATAACGAACAATAAACTCTTTTATTCTATTCGTATAAAAACAAACGACAATTGCTTCTATTTATTATATTTATTTAAAAATACGTGAGAAACGTAAAAGTCTATCAAGTTTTTTCTAATTAACAGGCAAATAAAAAAGGAAAGGGACGGTGCGGGGCAGGTTATAACACCCTGTAGCCCCGTGTTGACACAGACTTTCATTCAAACCAGCTCAACGCAGCCTCATCCATTATTCAAAAGTTTATTCTAGCCGTGAAGCGCGCGCAGTCACAGGCTATTACATCGCGTCGCACGAATTACGGTGCCAGGAAAGAAGCGATAATCTCGTTAGGCGAAATTAAAATCGAATCCCTCGAATCTCCGCGAGATATAAACATCGCTTGACTTGGCGAGGAATTAATTGCTCTGAGGCTACGTGGCGGCTGATCGATTCTGCATTTTTCTACTTGAGAAAATATATATTAGAATTAGTGTAACTACTTTCTTCATTTTAATTATAATTAATTGTATGGCAACTGATCGAATTCAATGGAAAATTGGTTAATATGGTAAATATGCAGAATCGTTTGAGCAAATTTTATTATTGGTTATAATATATTATTTATGTATGATATGAATGGATATGTAATTGTTATGATATTCAATATTTTCATTCGGATACAAACATTTCTGAATTGAACTGATTCGAAGAATAATAATTTTATTATAAATTATTAGTTCTCCTTGAATCATAGAAGCTAATAATTTAATGCATTAAGTATATCAAAATATAATATTATTAATCCTTCACAATGTTTAAGTTCTATTACAGCACGGTTTATAGAATTAAATATTTTATTGAAGAAATTCGAAGAAAATTATTCGAGGGTTATTTAGAGTGCATGCAATGTCCATAAAAGGAAATAAAA